GAAAAACAAAATGTTATGGAGAAAAATAAACTAAACAACATTTGCCTGGGCACTACATCCAAATTCTTTACCAAATTTGAATTCAAAATCAAATACAGAACATAAACACTATGATAAAAATAAGAAGAAAAAAAAAAGAGAATTAAAATGAGTGAGTGTGCCACTACCTTTTCGACACCGCCTTCTTTGCCGATTTTTAATTATTTTTTGGGATTGACAAATGCCCTGAAAAATTGCAGATATGTAGTTTACATAATCAATAACTCATTAAAATGTTTTCAAAAAATAATAAATTTTTTTAGGCCCCGAAATAAAGTGAAAACAAAAAGTTAAAAGTGAAAAAAAACAAAATAGTGAGTGGGCGAGCACGTTTTGACACCCCCATCTTTGGCGATTTTTGATGTTTTTTTGGCTGAGCAGAATGACTTCAAAATTTATAGGCGTGTAGGTTACATCATAGAGAACTCACAAAACAAAATTCAGAAAAAAAAACTTATTTTTAGGCCCCGAATTTTTTTTTGGCGGGGGCCGAAGCTGGAGGTGTTCGACCCCCGAACGGGACCCCGAACGCCCGAACGTTCGGGGGCCAGCCCGGGGGCCCCCAAACGTTCGGTCAGGTAACCCTGTATATATATATATATATTTTATCTGCCCCCTCGTTTCTCTACACAGGGGCAACTTCAAGCAGCCGATGTCCGTTCAAAATGAACGGGCGCAGCCATTTTGAAGGGCCTCAAGGAGGGGGACCTTACCTTCTGGCCTTCGCCTCCGTTCGCAGCCAGTCTCCCCCGTAGTAGTAGTAGTAGTAGTAGTAGTAGTAGTAGTACAAGTAGGAATATTTCCGTGTTCTAGTAGAAGATTCATTCGATTTTGCCCATCCTATGGATGGACTGTCGAGGCACAGCCTCCTGATGAGTCGATGGAGGTCCAACGAAACAGTCTGGCGTAGTCATGAGTCATGACCCGTTCGTTCGAAACGAACGGGTGCTCAGTGCTTTGGCACCAAAAAAAAAAAAAAAAAAAAAAGGAAAAAAAAAACAATCTAAACGAAATCTAAAAAGAAAAAATTTACAAAGAAATCTAAATCAAAATCTAAAAAGGAAAAAAAGAGAAAAGAAGAAAAAAAAAGTAAAACAAACTTACCTTCTACCAAAAACGGTCGCTTGTTTCGACGGGCGACTATCAAGTGTACTGGGGAGTCACTTCCGACGGCGCCAAGTGGCGCTTCAGTTAGTAGTTAGTTTTAGTTTTTTTTTTTCTTTTCTAAATACCGTTGGCTTACGCGAACGGTTATATCACGGTCATGTGGCTTTTCAGCCACGCACGTCGTGATGAAGACCGGAGCTCGAGTCCTACGGACTTAATATTAATCATATTAATCATATTAATAATATTCATTAAAAAAATTGTAACATTCCTCGATTTACGCATCTCATCCTTGCACAGGGTTCAAGCTGTTCCCTGCGCGACTGATCTCAGCCGCATGATCTTGTGATCACACGGCCGAGGTCGGCCGCCTAAATCTGCTCATGCCCACCGCTGCTCCAAAATGGAGCTAGCCCAGAGGCGCGGCTTGCTGGATTCGATCCCGGTGCCTGTCGGGTAACATTCAAGTGCTGTAACCGGCTGGGCTAGCTCCTATTACGATAGTAATAGGAGCAACTCTTCAATAAGAAGAGCTTGCCCAATCGCTGGGCTGCCACCATGTAGCCTAGCAAACCCTAAGGCCTGGTCCTGCTGGCAAGCCAAAACCCCACCCTCTTTCTCACTTGGTGGGGCATATAGCCCTCTGGCTAGGTGCCCTACCTTGGCCAGCATACCACCAGCCCACGCCCCGCTTCACCGAAATACAAAGGTCAGACGTGGCTTCATGGGGGGGGGGGCGTTTTCACACGCAAAGGTCTTAATTAACCCTTATTGGCTCTTAATCGCGCGGCTGCTACATTATTTTGGATAGAATAAGATTAGCTTTACTATTCCCACGTCCGCACGCTTCTACGGCCTCGACAAAACGAAGCACTGTCGGTTACTATTCTTATTCTCGGATGCTACAAGCGTCCGGACTAAAGTTCAAAAACTTTTATTCTATCTGTCATACGTCAGGTCTGAATAACTTCTGACGAACGTCGGTCTCATCAAGCCCTTCAATTCAAAAAAAAAAAAAAAAAGTGAGACAGTGTCCGACATCGAAAAACACGGGCAGATACCCTTGTCAAGGTTTCTGCCCTGACAACGTCTGGAGAGACTAACACAAGTAATCTCTGGACAACCTACTAGAAGCTGGCCTGCAACCTCTGCCATGGAGATATGTGGAGTGGGAGACTACTTCGCTCGCACGCTAAGGTCCACATTCTCCTGGGGTAGGGGCCGTTGCAACCCCTACCGACGATTGTCTTTTGCCGCCCCAGAAATAGCACGACTTCTAAACTTAGAACACAATTTTATGATGTTGCCTAGGTCCCCGCAGAACACACACTGAGATCTATTGATACGCTCTTGCCATACTTCCTTCTCAATACCCAGATCTTCCCAAGGTCGACCCTCGGGTCGACCTGGGTGTCACCAACCCTGTCTGGGGGGTGACCGACTAGAACGCGGACGGTTAGACAGGGGACCTTGACCCCTTCCTTCCACTTGACGGTTTCCATTGCCGCCAACCCCCTGGCCGCCCTGTCCTCGGCCACCTGGGGCCCGGCCATTCTGGTCAGACCCTTGTCGTCCTCCTTGCGGCCTCCCTCCCACCGCGACAACAGCGTAGGTTCTCCCCTCACCTGCGCTATAGTCCTCTTCAAGTCCCCACTCAATATCTGCGTAGGGAACTTCGTCTGCACCGCCTTCCTCCATTGTTAGAATTAAGCTATCTTTGGCCTTGATTTGGCCGGAGATGGTGCGCCCCTTCCACGTTTTTCCCTTCGTTAAACCACCAGTACCTCCGCCAGTGTTAAGAAATTACGATGTCTTGGCCAGTACCCGAACTTCTCGGGGTGGGACACAGGGTCGGCAATGTCCCATAAATCTGAATTTTATATTGTCGTGACTTAACAGGAAAAACGAAAAAAAAAAAATGCTTTCTCTACTGCAATGATGTCGGGCTGGGTAGTCCAGGAGGCCGTGCTCACAATCTTCCTCCACAGAATGCACCTTACAGGTAAGGCGGTCACATTCTGAATGTTACTGTTTTCTTTTTTTTGTTGGTCGTGTGTTTCTTACGAGTCCCCTGTACGAGAATTGCTCAAGCTGTCCGTGATCTGCTCAAGTTGTGTTTTGTTTCCCCCTTTTATTCTCTTTTTGGAATCTGACAACCTGGCCACGGGGCTGAGATGCCCTCATTGAGGGCACACTCACACTACCACTTCCAAGAATGTATACAACTGCAATCACGGCCAAAGCTTTGTTTCATTTTTTTTTTTTCTTCTTTTCTGAGGTTCACAGCCACAACTTTTCTTCTTTTTTTTTGATTTTTTCTTTTCTTTCCGTGAGAGTACCAGAAAGAAAACGGAGTGGTACCCAGGCTCGGCAAAACTCGGAGCTCAGTGAAATTCAGGGTCGGCAAAAACAGGCTCGGAGGTACTGGTGGTTTAAGTCCTTATGCCAGAACATGGTAATTGACGATGCTTGGGCGGCGAATGAGACAGCCGCCCTGCTAAGGACATCGTTTGTCATGCCCTGCTGGTTCTTTTTTTCAAAGAAATGTCCCTGAATATTCTCAGCAAGGGCGCGATAAAAAAGTTGGACCAGTTGGGCATCGGTTACTCCATGCCCAGGAAGAGCAATTAACTCATCCATGTCAGATTTGAGTGCCTGCACACTCTTCCACCGGCGCGTATGAATCATTTGAAGCTTATCGGAGGCTTTAACCCCCCTCGTCACGTCTGAGAATCGTTCCCTGAGTGATTTCAAAAACTCATCCAAGGAAGAAGAAAGCCCCCTCTCTCTCTCTCTCTGCCACTCCTCGACTATGGTAGCTTTCTTCTTCCTTGCTTGCTGCAGCTCCAACGTGGACAACGGCTACCAGCTACGATACCAATGCAATCAGACTCGACTGCAGACTTGCTTCCAACATGCATACATGAGAACTGATGGCCACACCAAACTCGTCAACTCAGAATCAACAACGAACTTGTGCCTAAACTTTGTTCGAGGCAACTGTACAACTCGCGGCTATGTCCGCCGAACACTGTCTCCACCACCAGCCTCACTCTCCACAGAAACCAAAAGCTGGGCGGCCATGCCCGCCATCGTCTTCCTCTCTGCCCACTTCAGCTCCGGGCACCTGCAGACCTCCACACACAAGTTACCAAGGCAGCGCTTCCGCATGGCTCACAGGCAAATGAATGACTTGCTGGACACTGCCTCTTTATTTATACTTCCTTGGAGGTGGTCGGGCCCTGCCCCAAAACGTGTGGGCCTGGGCCAAAACGCGTGGGCCCCAGGAAACTTCCAGATGCGTGGCCCACTGGCCAAAACGCGTGGAACTCTCCGCGTGGTCCAGAACCTTCCCCACGTGCAGCCCTTACCCAGGTACTTGCTGACTCAGACAGACTCTTCTGGACCCTAGAGCCTACGGACTGTTACCTATGGACTGACTCTTAGGCCTACGAAGAGGTAAGTAGAGACTTCTACAACAGACCTTCCTAAGCTAATGGTAACAGACTTAAGTACTAACCTACAGACCTAGGGATCGAGCCCAACTTCCCTTCCTACAGCCTAACCTATGACACAGGACAGGTCTAGGGATCGAATCTCACTCAGCACACAGGGTCAATGTGCAGGGTTCAGGCATAGGTCTAGGGATCGAATCTCAGTGTCTGCAATGTCATGTCAACTGGGTGAAACTGTTTCAGGACCGGCCACGGCAACGATGGGCCGTCTCCATTCCCATCAGTATGCAAGGGGCGATGCCCTTCTATGTTGTCAGAACTACATTGCAATCGAAACATTGCATCGATTATCGCCCAGCTCGTGAAGAATCTCAACCACACCACAATTTTTCCTATCATGACAGGAAGTGGTCGCCTGCACCAGTCGCAGTCATGAAAAAACCCTGCTGACCAGTATATAATGACAACAGCTGACAGGCCAACAGTCCCATTCACGATTTGCAGCCTGAAAAAGGCAGTGCCATTTGGCAGGCACTTGAGAGCCCCACCCTGGCGCGAAGCTGGCACCGACCCTCCCTGCAGCCCATATACGACTGCGTTTCTCAGAGCCCATACGACATGCTTGCAGTTCAAAGCAAATCATGATTCCCAGGTCTGCAATGCAGGAAAGCAGTCACATGCTTGTGCACTCTGTTAGACTTTTAACATGCAAGGAACACTGGCTGGCCTGGATCATTTTTAATTGCCTCATGCATCCATCACAACATGCCACATACACTTTTTCACCCCCAAAGCCCCAGAACAGGCACATCAGCAAACTGCAGGCATTCCCTCTGCCTTCCTAACATTTTTTCAGGCCATTTTAACCATGAGCCCTCACCAATTTTTGCAGCGACTGCTGGTAGCACAGGATTCTCTTTTGCAAAAATATACCGCTCCCATTTCAAAGAGAAATGCAAGCTTCCTGCAACAAAAAGCAAGCACACTCTATCAGCATTTCCATTCCATTTTTCACAGACTCCCAGGCCTCTGCAGTCTCTCTCTCTCTCTCTCTCTCTCTCTCTCTCTCTCTCTCTCTCTCTCTCTCTCTCTCTCTCTCTCTCTCTCTCTCCCCCTTTTGCTTGTCGGGTGTCTTTTTCTCTCTCTCTCTCTCTCTCTCTCTCTCTCTCTCTCTCTCTCCTGTCTCTTATACACATCTAGATGTGTATAAGAGACAGCACACACACACACACACACACACACACACATCTCCCTCACATAGTTCAGCATGAAGCACAAGGGAGGTTGCATTGTAATGAGGGCTGGTACATTGCTGCAATTAGTGATGAGTGCCCTAGCACTGAACTTCATCAGGACTGGCCCAGTGGTTTTCCCATTCAACAACAAGCATGCATTGCGAAGGGGAGGCACCAAAGTGCAGACGAACATAACATACACTTTATCATCATCAGGTGAAGCTGCGGCCCGCAGTTCCTCCCTTGCAAATCTGCACCCACATCCTCGTCTCATTCTGGAACAGTGTGTGACCTCCATCAACAACTCCCACCAACGTACAGCATTATCTTTGGTTCTCCCACATTCCATAGCAGGCAGTTGATTGCTAGTGTCAATCCCAATCCTCCTGTCTTTTGTCTGACTAAAACCTTGCCCTACGCATGAAGACTCTGCAAGTCCGGCAGCAGATGATTCTCTGGCCAAGTCAATATCCAGATGCGATTGACAAAGATGCATCCTGGCAGTACCGTGCTCTTGGGCATTTGTGCCCTGGAAACATATTGGTGGCCTTTGTGCATCGTTTACACTTTTGAGACCCACTTCATCCTGATAAACAATGTCAGCATGCAGTGCTCTCGTGACCATTTCTGTCTTCCGTGGTCTGCCCCTTGCTGTTCGTTGCTTTTCACATCGTGCCCTTCCTTCCACTTGTTCCGACCCTATCTCTCTGCCTCCTCTGCCTCCCCTCTGTCCCGGCCCTCCTCTTCCTACCACCAAACCCTTCTCACACTCTCCTTCTGCCAGCCCTTCCAGACCTCGCCCTACTGCTCCCAGTCTTTCTTCAATCACTTTACCATCCGCCAGTATTGCCTCACCATGTACTCTGACTGCCATTCTTCTCTGCCCACCGGGAAGACATGCATCCTCTTCAAAGGGTTGTCGAGTCCCTCCCACATCGTCTAAGACCACACTTTTAAGATTACAATAGGCAATGTTATGCTTCCCCAGCTGGCCAAGAACTCTTCGCCTCTTAGAAGCACGCAATACGATGTCTCTAGACCTTGCTTTCTGCCCACATTGTGTTCCTCTGTCAGGAACTTCTGTGAAAGCTTCCACACCATTTCCAGTACTCGCTCCACCTCCTTCCTGCCACCCACCCACCTGGCCTACTTCTAACTTTTGCTGATTCTCCTCCCTTGCCCGCTTGCCACAATCTGTCTTAATCGGAGATTGCCTCGGTGATTTCGAGGAAGTATTATTACCACTGGCTCCACCTTCACAGGTTCTAATAGAAGATTGACCAAGTCCAGGTACAGTACTCTCTGTGTAACGAGGTGCCTCAAGAACCACAGATGTCTCTTCCAGATCAATTGCAGAACATTTCCTTCCCCCTATTTCTGCACCTTTCACCGAAGACTGCACCACAACTGCACTTGTGTTCGCCAGACTTCTTTTGTTCTGACCTGCCCCTCCATCTTTGTTAGACAAGAATCCTCCAGATGTTGCTGACAGATCCTCCTTCTGCACACCGCCACCACTATGGGCAACAGTGGTTGGAACAATGGAATCCACTCCTCCTCGTGCGCCTTCAAGCAGCCCATCATTGACATTCCAAGGCTTATCTGTCCCCTTATCCTGGCCATCTACATCAATTGGTGTACTTTCCTTGCACTTCCCACCAGCCATAGTGGGCAACGACAAAGATGAAGTCTCCCCAGCACATTGCAGGTTTCCAAGTATCATTGAAACTTTTTCCCTACGCAGTGCAGAGGCAGGCGGCTGGACAGTAGGCAAGGTTGGTGAAAGAAGCTCCGCGCCTGCTCCTTCCCTCCACCAGAAAGCCTCCTCCTCACTTTCACTGACATCCAAATCACATTCTGACGCCGTTCCAAAGACCTCTGCTGTTCTTTCATCTAACACCCCTTCCTTGCTCCTATTGTCACAGTCAATCTCATCACTTGCTGCCTTGTCCGCTACAGCTGCCAATGGTTTCCTCAGCTTCTTTTTTCGCCTGCTGGCCCAAACCTCTCCAGTACCGCTTGTCATCAAGCCTTCGTCTGTCAAAGACCTTTCCGAAGTACTTCCCTCCGTGTCACTGCTCTGTAGGTCCACACCCTGTCTTATGCCCATTTTTTGCCGTTTGCGACTACGAACCAACCTTCCACCTGTCAACTTCTTGTCACTGAAACAGCCTTCTTCCCCCTCTCTGCTCTCAGACTCTCCGACACCACTCCCCAGAACACAGTACCCTGTGGTACCATCTTCTACTCCCATTGAAGCCCGGTTGCGATTACCCCGAGGCATCCCAGTGCAGCCTTGGCTACTGGATCCCTTTGCTTGTCCTCCTCTTATGAGAGCCTTCAAGCAGGCAATCTCCCGCTCAACCCTTGCATGGATCTCCTTTTCTCTCCTCAACAGTGCCTCCAACTTTCCCACCACTTGACCTGGACATTGGCCAACCTCCCTCCCTTCAAATGCTCCATGTCCTGACATATTCATGGCATTCCATGCATTTTCAGTACATGGAACATCTTCCAAGAGCTTGTCCCTGGGGCTGACAGTCTCATCTCTCTCTCTGCATGTGTTGAACCCGCTTAAGCCAGCCCCTGATGCTCTCTTTTCTACCATCATCCTCTGTTCTACCACACGGCTCTCCCTCCCACTTCCCGCCTCTGCACTTAGTCTACCAGCACACACATCTCCAGGGCGACCCTCCTGTTTAGCACTTCCACCCTCCCGTCTCTCCACCTCTCCTTGACCGCTTCCAACACCACTGTGACAGATAACTCCTTCCTCCATTGCCTTCATGATCCCTTTCTCGGGAACATCAGGCAAACAACTAGGTTCTCTAACAATGGGTATGCTTGCTTCTCCAGGGTTTGATGGCAGCAATAAAGCAGGAGGGCCCACTGTCATCACAACTGGAGTTTCACTCTCACTCTGCGTAGCTGACCTAACCTGACAAACCTCCATCACTCGAGCTCCACCACCATCATCTCTCATGCCTTGGTTAGACGCTGCTGCCACCATTTCCTTGTGTTCTGGGGAACCTGTGCCTGCACCACAAGCCACCATCAACAATCCTTTTCCCCCGTCTGACGATGCCATCAGCTTGCTGTCCACGATTCGTAAGCAGCTCCTCATCTCTGGCAATCCTAGAATGTGCCGCTGCAAGTCGTTCTTCATAGCCGAAGTTAGCATATCCACTTCGTCTGCAAGCCTGCTGGTCTTTGAGCACATATTTGATTCATCCAAGTTCTGCAATCAACATAAATCATGGGTGCTTGCCTGCTCAGTACGCAGCTCTGCACAGGAAAAAAGGTGTTCAACATTCAGGCCTACCCACAACCATTCATCACTCATTTTTAGTGTGCACCTACTAAAAACAACATCCTCATTCATCACTCATTCACACCTCATACCTACTCAGAACATCCTCATGGAATCATCACATGTTATTATTCTCTCTATCCAGCAGGTCCCACATCACATCATCCACGATTCAGACCCAAAATTCGGGTCATAGGGTCAGAGGCCCTGGTCAAGAAAGGCCGAATTCCTCAAATTCAGAAAAGTCACAGTCAGGTAGCTCAGCAGTCCAGTCCAACAGGTACCCAGTAAACAGACACATCTCAGGGGGAAAAGTCGCGTCCCATAATGAAAAGTCACATTGAAAAGTCAAATTCCACGAGTGAAAGGGCAGTCCCATAAGCAAGAGTCGTGTGTTATGAACTTGGTTGTCTGACGAATTTTATCGCCACTCGCACACAGTCTCACACATGCCCATGCATACATGACAGAAGGGGAGAGAGGAGACAGAGTCCAAACTGCACACAGGTGAAAATAAGCAGCGGAATACAACCATGCACAGATGGGGAGAGAACACACAGTGTTTCTCACTCTCTGACACAACTCCCAACAACCAATCACAAGAAAGAACCTGCGAAGATCACAATTGGATTCACACTGATGATGAGCCACTCAAACAATTATCGTAACAGAGTTTGTTCCAGTATCTCGCCACTCTCAGAACTCACACCCCACTCTCTATCCTACACCCAGTTAGTAGCGCCACATCAGATTGGCCTCCCAGAGGCCAGCGCCAACCACCCTGATGAAGAACAGGTCCTGCGATGACGTCTTCAGTGCCGATGGACAACTTTGACGAAGGAACAGGCAGCTATGGCTGCCACCACCCACGAGTACACAGTGTAGAGCCTCCAAATAGCCCGGCCAGACGCAGATACCCCCAGGGGTAGATGCGCTGAGGATGCCCCAGCTATGGCAGACTCAGACTGGACCGGCTATGGCTGCTGTCAACGGCGAGTCTCAGGATGCCGCCTGTAGACAGATACCGCCACCAACTTGATTGGCTTCTCCAACGCTGCTCCGCGAGAAATGAACTGCCAAAAGTCCTGAACCGATGGGCCTAACCGATCTATAGACTACCTAGACCTAGACCGGACTGACTGACCGACCGGTACCGTTGCTGTTTCGGCCTCTCGGCCTCTACCCGACCTGGCTATAGGCTATAGGACCGTCTAGCAGCATAGGGCACTTAGGGCCTGTCTGTCCTAGGGGTAGCCCGGGCCTGCTATAGGCAGTTAGGGTAGCTGTAGGAATTTGGGTTAGTGCTGGGCCTCTGTTTTCCCAGATTTGCAGATATGTCCCTCACGAATTTCCTTACAGGCAGGTCTCTCGGTTAGCCCTCAGCCAAACAAAATTACGAATCTAACCCTACTGGTTAGTGTACAGCCTCGCAGTCAATCTCGGCAGTAGAAATCAGCGAGTCATTGCAGGCTTACCCTCCCCGGGAGAGTGGAACTCCGAGCTAGGGATGCAGGCGAGGTGAATGGCGAGGAAGGTTGCCCTTCTGAGCCGCTTCATATCGCAAAACAATGGACTTTGTTGTCTTGAAAAGTTCCCTTCTGTAGAACCGTCTGCTCTCAGAAGGAGGCTGGAAGGCGAACCTCACAAGATACTGTCGATCAGCATGCTAAGGTGGCCAGCATACACGACTGGCCCAGACCTCAGACTGTTACTGAGGTCAGATCGTTTTTGGGGATGCCGGGATATTATCATCCGTTTGTAAAGAACTATAGTACTATAGCTTTTTCACGAACAGATCTAACTCGACTTGACACCCCTTGGGAGTGGACTGAAGAGTGTGAGGCGGCCTTCAGGAAACTAAAGTATACCCTGACACACTATGAGGTTCTTAAACTTCTGGATCCTGATAAGTCATTTGTAGTGACCATAGACACACTATGGCATAGGCGCAGTCCTTGCGCAAAAGGATGGGCCCAAGTTGAGACCTATCGAGTACATGAGCAAAAAGATGTCGTCTCAAAAGCTAGCCAGGTCTACCTACGAGCGTGAGCTCTACGCCCTTTACCGAGCGCTGGTCCACTGGAGACTATCTCCTTGGCAGATTTTTCTATGTGAGTTCTGACCATGCGACACTGCATTGGATCAAAACACAACCAGTACTCTCTGACACACTTAAGCGATGGATTCAAGTTATAGACATGTATGACTATCAAATTGACACAATCAAGGGAGAGTACAACAAGGTAGTTGATGCACTTTCACGTCGGGCAGATTACATGGGCGCGCTACTGATTGAATTCGACATATCTAATGATCTAACTCGATCTTTGGTGAAGGCCTACCAGCAAGATGCAGTTATGTCTGAGATCATCCGTAAGTTCAAAGAGAAGGATAAGGTAACTTCTGACGAATTTACGATGGTTGATGGCTTGCTGTTTCTTGAAAAGGCATGGAATAAAAGACTGTGTGTTCCCAGTGGTGAGTCTTTGCGTAGTTTATTTTTAGGGGAATGTCACGATGCAACAGGGGGGCCTTAGGCCTGCCGAGGACCCAGATCCTCGCATTCCCTCCTCCTGTACTTCGATAGTCCTCTGAGAAGTCTTCTATTCTGCAGGCATCTTCCCTTTTGAGATCTCTTTTGTAGCCTGCAATGACTTGAGGTGCAGTTCTCATGAGTTTTTCTCTGGTGAACCACCGATCTTCGCAGGGATCCAGATGATGTCTGAATCTGACCCGGTATTGCACTTCTGGCTTAGGAGGGCGGCCTCTGCCCGGTGGTCGAGGAACAGACATCAGACGATGCTCCAACCATGGATGGCGAAGTGGACATCGACCAAATCGTGGAGCATCGTCTTATGCGTGTTCCTCGACCATTGGGCAAAGGCCGCCCTCCTAAGCCAAAAGTGCAATCCCGGGTCAAATTCAGACATCATCTGGATCCCGGCGAAGATCGGTGGTTCACCAGAGAAGAACTCATGAGAACTGCACCTCAAGTCATTGAAGGCTACGAAAAAGATCTCAAAGAGAAGATGCCTCCAGAATAGAAGACTTCTCATAGGACTACCGAAGAACAGGAAGAGGGAATGCGAGGATTTGGATCCTCGGCAAGCCCAAGGGCCCCCTGTTGCATCTGTGCTCGCCCTAAGTGAAGGCGGGCCTAACAAATTACAAGAGGCCCTCGGCTGTCAATTTCGTATTTGGGGTCTAGGCAGTTTCGTCGCGCCAGTTGGTTGAGGAAAACACAGGCTCAGCAGCGAGACCTTAGACGGCCTTCCAGGCCTTTCCAAAATGATGCAGGCTGTGGACGAGAATGGCGGCCTCATACACAGACAGTTGGGAGGCCCAACCGAATGAGGCCCAGTAGCTGCAAGAGAGGTGCAGCATCCTGGGGCCTACCGGAAGCTTTTGGGCCCAGGCCAGTCCAACCAGGTTGCCGAATGAGGCAGGCTCTTTCTCGCTGCCTGGCCAGGCATTAGGGGACTCGCATGCTGGCGGCAGCACTGCTGGAGGTGAAGCTCATGGGCTGTTGCTAGCGCTGAGAGGCGAGGTGCAAGCACGTGCGGTCGTGCAAGGAGGAGGGCGCTGCTGAGGGCAGCGCAATAGCCCAGCCTCCATAGCTGGCGGGGTTGGATGTACAGTGAGGTGCAGGGGAGGTCTTCGGGTGTACAACAAGGGAAGACGTGGGAGAGAGTCAAGGGAGACAGAGAAGGATGATGATGATGATGATGATGATGATGTGAGGGCACATACCTGGTATTGGCGATAGTTCTGCATGGGCGACATCTTCAAGTACTTCGGGGGCTGCTGACGTCAACAGTTGCATTGTCAATTAGTAGGCTAGTAGTAGTTGTGTAGGGAGTAGGCTGGGCGCCGAGCGCCAAGTAGGGAGATAGGGACTGGATACATATGTTGGTGGTGGCGAGAGCAAGCTCTCATTGACATTGGCTTTCACTGCTACTATTCTCCATTGGTGTCATATTGGTGCAATGCTACTTTCTGAACACGGTGATACGATCTGGCTTTCAATGTGATTGTGCAATCTGAATATTGTCATCTCGCTATTGCTCATTTCCCTTGCAAAAGTCCCACACCCACTTGTCCATAAACAGCTTGATAACATAGTCAGTTTTTGTTGTTCTGGCATAGCAATTAATCTTGCATACTTGGAAAATCGGTCGACTATAACGAAGATGTTTCTTTTTCCGGTCTTGCTGTTCACCAGGGTATCCATGAAATCCATGGACACACTTTGACCTGGACCTTCCGGGATCGGCAGGGGCTTGATGAGCCCAAGCGGAGCCTGAGTCCTAGGTTTGTCCCGTTAGCAAACCTGGCAAGTTTCAACATACTTCTTTGCATCTTGCATCATAGACGGCCACCAGAATCTCTCTGCACTAGGTTAGCTGATGTTTTTCTATAGCAAAAGTGCCAAGTTGCATCATGACACTGACCTAAAAGCAAACTGCTCAAGGACTCCCTATCGGGTACACAATTTTTTGTTCCCAGACTTCTCAAGGAACAGCAAGCCATTGATCACCGTAAACTCATCAGAAGTTACTTTATCCTTCACTTCTAACTTACAAATTACTTTATCTTTCACTTCTAACTTACAAATGATTTCTGACATAATTGTGTCCTCTTGATAGGCTTCCACCAAGGATCGAGTTACATCGTCAGATATATCAAACTCATTTATTAGCGAGCCCAGATAGTTTGCCCTTCGCGATAGTGCATCAACTACCTTGTTATACTCTCCCTTAATTGGGTCAAGTTAATAGTCATACATGTCTTTCACTTGGATCCACCTTTTGAGTGCATCTGAGAGTACAGGTTGAGTCTTGATCCAGCGCAGAGTCTCATGGTCAAATCTCAAATAGAAGAATCTGCATAGGAGATTATGTCTACAATGGACCAGCGCTCTATAGAGG